TTGCAGACTAGCACCATATTAAAAAACTGACAAAATAGACTGAATCAAGAATCATATTTTATTGAACACTATAAAGTTACCTCCATGTATGTGACCCTTTTTTGGAACTGTCCATCTCTTTTTGGTTTCTTTTCTGTCTTTGAATGTAAAGTCACAGGTAAGGTGAGTGGTGCTTGCATCAGAGCACAGCAGCCTGACATGTACCATGTGCTGGCAGAGAGCTGAGGACACAGATTTATTAATGGCTTGGTGTGTCATCTTGAGCTTTGACAAACACTTCTTTTGAGCCTCATTTCGTTGTGTAACTACACACACGCAAAAAAGCATCATTAAAATTTTTAAAAGGGAAAGGTGTTCTTCAGCCTAATGTGGTGTCTGTGCTTCCAGCCTCTACCTGGGACTTAAGCTTGGATTAGAAGGAAGGCAAACCCACAGATTTCCTGGTTGTTTACAATGATGATTTTTGTTTGTTTGCCTTCTGATTATGGCTTTAAGAAGCATGCATTCCAGTAGGTACTGAGATGAATGTAGATGTTAATTGCTATTGATATTTCAAGGCAATTTTATGACCCTAAAGTTCAGCTATTTGTATTTTCTTCTTTATAGAAATTACATCTGAATGGCCATGATAAATTATTCTAGTTTATATTCACCTTAGTCTATTTTAGTGCTTTCTGAAGTAAATAAGACTTTCTTTTCTGGTGTGTGTAAAATATATAACTTGCTGTCTTTTTCAGTCAACTGAAAATCACATTCCTTTAAACTATTTAATTATTTGAAATGCTCTATATGGTGCAATCTGGTAAAATGCTGATTGTCCTCAAGGTCAGTGACATTCTCCAGAGTGACAAAGTCCCCAAAAATCACACTCCATGTACAGGGTCAAGATTAAAAAATGATTTTGTTTCCCAGTTCAGTACATGTCAACCTACCATCCTAATCAAATAAGGAAATGAGTGAGTGAGTGATCCACCTCTCACCTCCTCCTAGAAGGTTCAGTCTCCATGACAAAACTGGGAACTCAGACTAATCTTGAGCATTTCCTTTCCAAGACAGCAACAGGCAGAGTAATTGTGGAGATATTTGGAAAAGGTGGCTGAAATGTGAAGCTGCAGGTCTCTCAATTAGGCAAGAAATGTCTGGACATTCTTATTTAAAGGAAATGATGAATCCATTAATCTGATTGAAACACTCTAGTGTTGCCTTTGAACAGAGATAAAGATATTGTCACATTCCTTCTGCAAGCAGAACTGAGGTCTTGTGGATCTGCTGGTGTTACAAGGCAAAGAGTGAGGCACATTAGCTTCTTTGTGAGCAAGAACAAGCTTTGGAACTGTAGCATGAAAAAAATGTAGTTTAGGTATGGTGAAGACATTTTCATTTCAAAGCCAGTCATAGTTCAGGAAAAAACTCATGCTGAACCTGAAATTTTGCCTGCTTTATGTGTCGCTCCATAAAGTTTATGTGAGCATGAAGGCTGAGTCTGTCTAAAATGATTTATTGAATGGAAGTTGAGAGCACTGAAGAAGATTAGAAAGAGCAGAATTCATGAGAATAATCAAACCTAGTGCTATTGAGTTTGGCTGTTTCGTCTAGGAACAATTCAGTGCTAATCCCAGGAATGCTAAAATGCATGCAGGAGCAGAAATACTATGCTAGCTTCTACTTGCTGTTGCTTACACCTGGATGCTAATATTAAGTATGTTATTAAAAAGTTAAACAAGGCTTAAGCCAAGCCCTGAGCTGGCAAGATATATGTGATGCATGAATCAGTCCTTGTTATTGTGTAAGGAAGAGAACATGCTTCAAAGGCCAAAGGGCACTTTCTCTTTTTAGTTTTTTTTTCACTTCTTAGAGGCAGGGCTCTGGAGTGAGGTTTACAGGGTGTTAAATACAGCTGCTCTGTTGTGCTGCATGCTGCAATGTGTTAATGCAAGTTTGCCTCCTTTTGTTCTGTCTTCTTGGAAGGCTAATAGAAGTATCCAGAGTAACCAGCTGTATATCTTGTCTAGGTCCTGGTCTAATAATTCTGCAAACCTGTGAGAGTTTATTAATTCCCCATTATCATTTGGATTTCCTTTCTGAACAGGCTGGTTGTGCAGCACCCCCAGTCTCCTGGTGCAGTTGTGGTTTATAATATTTCTGCAATTCTCTAGAGGAGTGCTGTAACAGCAACACTGCTAGAAATAGCCCATTCTGAATGTGCTGTGGCCTTGGACAAATGGACTCAGGTGGAGACGAAAAATGTGAGAAAATAGGAAAAGTGTTAATCCTTTCCCAAAGGACATTTGTGTATTTTCAGTATTCTAGGAAGGAAGTTAAGGAAGACAGTAAACAAAGAGTATCTGGACAGGACTCAGTGAGAGGCTGCAAAGCAGATACATTCTCTGAAATGAGACACAAAGTCCCTAAGGATTCCTCCTCATGGATGGAACAGCCATCCAAAAATGAAGGATCCTCTTGATATGCAAGGCATAAAGTCGATACTTGGATTAGACTCTCCCACCATGAGTCCAGTTCAAATGGATTTGTAGAAAAGGACATGTGGAGAAGGGTTGAGTGATCCACCTCCCTCTTCTAGGAGCAGCCAGCATGGACACTGTGGAAGGGGCACTGAAGGACAGTGGATCAATTACTGTCTGTCTTATGTCATTTTAGTTTGGAGAGTAACCTGTACCACAAGCAGTAAAGCTAAAAATTGGGTGGTATAAATGTTTCTCATTTACCTAGAACTGTGTGCTGTTCCTCAGAATCCTTTGGAAGCAGGTGGCTGCTGTACCCCCAGGACAGGGCTGGCAGACTTGGAAACAATAAGCAAAAGGCAACAGCTCCCAGTTTCTTATAAAGGCCATCTTGGCTGCTGTCAGCATTGCTTCAGCTGGGACTTTCTGGAGCCTGCTTCTATAAATATACAACAATTCAGTTGTGTAATTGCCATTACCGATGTGAATTCAATTGGCCTATATTTTTATACCATAGCATTAGGTCTTAGAATCTTGAACTGGTATAGATTCTTTTAATAAATACTGATCTCTCTTGATCTTGAGAAGTAGAAATGAAGTCATCAGAAGCAGATGGGGCATGGAATAAATTGAAAAATAGAAGTAATTTTTAGTAAGCTTGTTTTGCTTTTAATCCAGTGTTTTTGCCGAATAATTTCCTCTTATCACCTGACCTACAAAAATTAAGCTAGTGTTCTGATTCCAAGATCTTTCTATTCAGACTATTTTTATTTGTTAAAAGTATCAGTGTGTTTTAACTGAAAAAAAGACTGAAATTTGGGTTGGAATAGGATCTGATAGAAAAATCTACCCCTGAAATGCAAGAATCACTGAAAAAATTGGGAAGGGAGCCTAATCTTGCTCAATCCTTCTTTCAGCAAGAGAATTGGGTTAGGAAGGTATGGTCCAGAATGATTTTGTGGTGATCACTTTCAGCTAGGTGGACACTGCTGCCTTATTTTGGCAAGCAGTGATTGTAATCCCAATATCAAAGCATTTTAAGCACAGGCTTTAAAGCTTCCCACTCACTGCATGCAAAGTGTTCTGCAAAGTTCCTTCGGCCACAGGGCTGCCTTAAGAACCATCATTAATAGCTGTTAGTAGCTTTTATAAGGCATCTCTTACATTTCCTTTAATTCATGCAGAGCTGTTGTTGCCTGTCCTGTTGACAGCTTTGCATGTGTGCTTCCTTGGCAGGGACAGCACAGGAAATACTGTTCTTGCACTTAACTGTGCACAAGGGAATAACTCCATGGCACGTCTTCAAATGTGTGCACAAAGAGAGGATCTGTAAGAAAAGAGGAGCATGCATCTGCACAGTGTTGTATTCCATGGGTTCTGCTGCAGGCAAATTCCCTGTGAAAGACATTGACTGGTACACAGGCACGTGAGGAAGGGGAGCAGGAGGGAAATGCAAGGCTCAGACCTGTTATTGTGTGTGAGTTGTTCAGGATAATCAATGAGGGATATTCTGGACTCCAGGGCTTGCAGCACAGCGGCTCTGCAGATGTCTCAGGCTGTGTGAGGAAAGGTGTCTTCCCCACTGTATTTCTTATCACCACCTTGCCAGGCTGCTCAGTTGCTTCAGCAATAGCCTGTGAGTAAGCTCTTCTGCAGAAAAAAGTACCTGAAATAATAGAGAATTCTACCCTAGAGTTCTGTACAGGGCTTACTCCTCTTCTGATGGATTTGTGTGGCAGCCTGACCTAGTTTTGTAAGTACAAATCCAGACTTGTATTCAGTACAGTTAATCCCCATTTCTTCTTTTCAGATGGACTTTGTAAAGTTTATAACTATCCTCAGATCTGTGCAGGATCATGTCCTTAGTTACTTCTCTGTGTTGATACTGGCATTGTTTCAAATATAATGAATACCTGAATAAACAACCCTGAAAAATATATGTGTAGATATATGTATGTTCAAGATTAGATTTATTAGTTTGGCCTTTGGCCAATTGCCTAAGTACAACTGCTGTCCTAAGAAAAGATCAATCTCTGATAGTCAGGAGCTTTAGGTACAATTTTTCCTTTTAGATCTTGGACCAGCCATGGTTCTTTGGGTCATCATATACACTTGATTGAATAACTACTGATTTTAATAGGACTGATGGTAAGAGGAAGGCTTTTTAGGATCAGGATATTAAATACACTTGGTTAAGTGGCACATTTTGTGCATTGGAAAAAAAAAAAAGTTCTTCAGACTGAGAGGGTGGAAGGGTAATTCACCCCAAACTGAAGCCTCAGGATTGAGGCTGATTTAAAAGTAATGCCTTCCATTAGCTAGGAATTGATTATTTTTCTTTCCCACAGCCTCTTCCATAACAGTGAGCCAGATCTCCTGGTTTTGGCTTTGGTTCTTCAGTGTCCTGAGGCTTTTCATGTTTTTCAGCTGAGTGCTGCAGCAGTGCTCAGCAGAGGTGTGACCCCGTGTGAAATGCCTCGGTGTGACTGCACAGTGTGATGCACTGAGAGCACATTAGAATGCTTACCTTCCCTAATTGTCTTTAGATGGGGAAGGAAATAATGTGATGCTGTCTTCTCTTTCCTTTTCAGAACCTGACGAAGCTGCTTCCATGCATCATTATCCCACAGCACTGCTTCCAGCACCCCTCAGATGTTGTTTTTTGGAGTTGATGCTGATCACCATGATCTGTGCAGCTCAGCCTCGTTGCAGCTGTAATTAATCCCTTCTGTTATAAACTAAATAGTCTGAAAATCATTTTCTTCATTTGCTGCACCTGCCACTGGAGAGCTCCTGCAACCTTCAGTGATGCAGGTAATCCTGTTCCTGCCAACACAAATCCTCCATTACAGAAAGGGTGCAGACCCACAACTGGAACTTGCTGAAGCACTTCCCAGGAAGTTTTGTTCCTGCCCCTCCACATAAAGATTTGAATATTTTGTAGAAAAACATTGTCCTTCTGGGCCAAGTTTAGACAGCCTCTAGAGTGGTTAGTGCTCAGAATGGCCAGGAGCACAGGTTGAGACATTCTCACAGGGATGAGAAGATGCAGCTTCAGGTGTTAACTTCAGAAAAAGAAACCATATCTAGGCCAAATATTGTAAGCACTGGGATGTCCACCTTTCCACCCACCAAGCCCCCAACATTTTGCTTTAATTTTACCACAGACTTCTTTTTGCAAAACCTAAAAAAATCACATCATATTTGTTATACACTCACAAAGTCTGAATCTCGCTCATGGTGGGAAAGTAAACGGAGATTCTGATTTTCATTCCTGCACTTTAATTCTGTGTTCATTTGAATCTGTTAGAACTGCTCCTACTGGAGCTGATTTGAATTCTAAACAGTGTTAGATATTTATTTTTGTAAAGCTGTGCCATTCATCTTTAATATAATCATCCAATTTACTCTATTAATGCCAGCTGCTCCATTTGGCACAGGTCACCTGGAGTGTTTGGAGCACTCCACTAATTTTTCCTTGAACTAATTCTAAAAATCCATAGAAGTCAGAGCACTCCACCTCCCCAGCGAGGGAATGTTTATTTTTGTCCACATTCCTAAACACCTTCTTAGTTTGGCAGAAGAAATTATCCTCTGGGAGGCAGACTTCTATTTTGCTGGGATTTATTTATTTATTTGGTTGGGTTTTTTTTCCAGAATTGTCCTTGGCATTGCCAGGTGACCCCAGGGAGTGGCCACTTGTATTTTTCAGAGCAAACAGCCGTTGCCTTGAAGAGAATGCTTTCCAACTCTTTGGTGCCTGCCACTTCTCCTCTGTCTTGCATTTGAAATCCTCCAGGATGGGTAAGAGCGTGAAATGTTTTGTGTTTCCATTCTCTGGCAAACTTGGCTTAACACCACTTCACCCCACCCCTGATCTCACAGAAAGCAAGTGCAAGATTTGGAATTGCATAGAGGTTTGTACAAGTTGGGGCTAGTCCACCCTGAGACAGCAGAAAAATCAAAAATGAGCAAGAATGATGGCCTCAGCAAACAGAACAGCTGAAACACGATGTGGAACTGCCATGTTTTTTCTTGAGCTGTGGTTTTATATGTTTTTCAAGCCACAGATGACAGCACAGCTCCTGTCCCTCCCACCCAAATTTCAGCTACACTTCTTAATCCACAGAAGAGTGCATTGTTTTATCTGCCTTCCAAAACATTCATCTAGAAAACTAAGATAAAATGTGACATTTTTAAATGCAAATTTTAATAGGCAGCTGTAGCTTAAATAATGAAAGAGCTTTTTCCTAGCTGAGGAATTTCCAGTAGGTAGATATGGGGCAGGCCTCTGGTACCCTTATTCTGACTGATCTCCATTCTGCTGTAAAGCAGAGATCCTGATCACAGAAAAATAATTTTCCTCCTGTATAACTGTAATGAGTTTATTACAAACACACAATAGTGTAAGACAGTTTTGACTAGGCACATTACCAAAGGTGATAACATAATTAAGCCATGGCTTGTCAGAGGTTGAGACAGCAGCTAAAGGGGAAATAGTTTCTCCATCTGCATCATAGAGTGAATTTGAAATCCTGCTGCTGCTTGTGCTGCATGGAAATGACTCTTCTCCTGGAGAATCCAATGCTCTGGAGCTGTGCCCCTAGTGTGGAAGAGGTTAGCAGAGCTCCAGCAGCATCGTCTGAGCTGTCTCACGAGAGCTCTCCCAAGTAACACAGTTCTGGCTCACAGCATATCTTATTGAACATTTTCTAAATGATCAAACTCCACAAAAGGTTGAACAGGGATTTTTTGGTCTGTAAAGATCCCGTCTGAACAGCAGTGGTTCATGAGTTCAGGTCCAATCCCCACAGAGTTTAACCTGAAATCAGTTTGTAGTTCTAGGAATATTTAGCAGATCTTGTACTCTGCTAAATTATTAATCAATTTATGTTGCTACTTTGGATGTAGTATTTCATTTCTTACTCGATTAAAAATCTCTGCTATTCAGTTGTGGATATTAACAGCTGTCTTATCTCTAGTGCTCTTCTGTGAGCAGATCCCTAGCCAGAGGTTCATGCTAATTAGAAGAGGGTATTGTGTGTATGTGTATTAGTTTCAACTTTGCATTTAACCTCCCCAGATTTCTTAATGTTTTCAAAAAAAAAAAGGCTTTCTTTTAGCCTAACCTCTTGAAATGACTTATCCTAATATTTATCCTTGTGTTGTACTGCAGACAATCCCATTCCGTTAGCGAGTAATTAATGGGAGGCCGTGTCACCAAACCCTGAGGCCCATCACTGTTGCAACTGAGTGTTAATTTAAAGCATGTTATACTCCTCAAATTATCTCTTTGAAGAGTCTCTCTGCCACAGTTTTGTACTGCTTTGTTTTCAAAGTAATCATCTACAGTCCAGATTTCCTTAGGGAGGGAAAAACAAACAAACAAAAATGAAAAGCCAAAATAAAGAGTCGGAGCCAAACCCTTTCAAATTAATGAGTTAAAGGCTTCAGACTTTTGTATTGTTACCCGATGTTGAAGCATTAAGCTGCCTCCCATAATTTCCTTTCCTCCTTTGTTAGTTAAAACCCCTTTTTTCTTTTTTTATGATCAGTTTTTACAAGTCTGATTTTTTCATCTTCATCAGAACTAGTATGTTAAAGTTATTAAGCCAGCAAGGGCTGAATGAATTTCTGGGCTTTTTTTTCACCTCCCAGCCCTGTATCAAAGAAAGGCACTGAGCGTGAGATCATGGCCTTTTTAGGCAAGCGTAAACTTTTTTCCAGTTCTAACAAATTTCTGACACATTTGGCCAGAAAAGATCACGTTTCTGTGCTGTAGGTAGATGGCTCCAGCATTATTCATATGATTCTTTGTATATGTCTGTAGCAGCCCTTTAACAAGAGCAGAGAGCCAGCTCTGAAATACAATAGCACTCAGGGCCACCCTTTTATGTTTGTTTACTCACTTTTATGAGCCTTCCTCAGTTATTTGATTCACAGGGCTGAAGCTTGCCAGAAGCTCAAGAAATTCATTGGCCTGTTTTTTTGGAGAGGCCTTCTCTGCTGATCTCTCTGTAGCAGGATACCAGAGCTTTCTTATGGAACTTGAAATCTGTATTTTTTTACCGCGTGGCTGGTTAACAACATATCTTATCTGCTGTCTATAGCAGTCTATCTCTTGTTTTTAATACACCTCCACTGGCATGAAGTCTTCACTACTGAAGGTCTGTTCCAAAGCAAGATAAATCTGTAAACAACAGCTAGATGGAAGAAATTTAATTTATCACTTAAAGATTTTGCCAGTGAAGGTCACATGGGGGCCAATGGGTATCAAACTTAATTCTGCTTCTCATAGGAAAAAGATTTAACAGGAGATAATCACTGGACCATTTTCTCTGTTACTTCACTATCATGGTAGTCCTTTTGAAGAGCTAAATATAAATAAAAATTATAAACTGTACTAACAGCTGTAATCTTATTGCAGCCATTATCTATATAAAGATTTCTCACTTTTAATATGGAAAATAGGTCTAACCTGATCTAGCTGAAATAACCCTAGATCTGAGCCTACCTGTACAGAGCTTTAGTTAGAAATTGATGTACAAATCACTCTCCTCTGTGGCCACGTGCTCAGTAAACTCAGGCTTGGCTCAATCTTTTGAGTATTTAAAAACTAAGCCAAAAGGTCTCGACCTTTGGGTCTAGAACCTTCCTTTTCTTTGTGTGTGTAGTTGGAAGAATAAAGGGATTGAATTATCCAGGCACTACTGTACTAGAAGTAATTAATACTTAGAGGGCAGGTATGGTTTTCCCTCCCATAAATTGATTTAATTTTCATATCCTGATTGCCTGGAGGGGCTCACTTCAGCAACCTTGCAGAATTTGCTATGTTTTTGATTTATTGTACAGCATGCTTCTACACTTTTAATCCTTACAGCTTTCACACATATGGAATTAGTTACAGATTTAATGCCCCATTGATATCAGTGCAGATATTTAATTTCTGACATCCTTAAAAGAAAGGAGATCAGAGTTTCAGGTATTTTACCACTGCTAATTCTCATTTAGATATATTTTCTACTGCAAAGGTAAATCTTTTGAGCTCGAAATATGACAGATATCTGAGAAGAAACTTAATGAGAAAAGTATTTCAAACATTTTTTTGAAGATTTTGGGTTACTCTTATTTTTTTTCTTTCAAATATTATTTGTAATAACATGTGACTTCATAAACAAAACAAATTTTATTTTATAAGGTTTTGTTTTCTTATTGCTCTCTTCTGGAATTAAAATCAGTTTTTGACAAACATTTACTGTCCAGAGTAAATGGTCCTGGCTCCTCCACATTTATATTGGAGAAGTATAGACATTTCCTAATAAACTGTGTGGATATTCAAAGTAGCTTCTCTAGAGCCAGCTGCTAAAATGTAGCCAACCAATCAAGGGCTGGCACTGTGTTCTTGGGGGAATACTCACAGATTTTGGTTAATGTATTATTGACATGTTTGAAATAATTAGTTATGGATTCTGATGGCATGTAATATAAAGGAGATAATTATTAATGTAAACACTTTGTGTTAGTTGAATGATAATTACTGTGGAAATTAGGGCTGACCGTTCTTTATAAATGTATAGAGAAATTTTACTTAGGCAGGCACCAAGGACAGAAGAGTCCCACTAATCCTCCATCCTTGTCAAATATAGTCTAACACTGAAGCCATATGACACATGCAAAAGTTATTCTGCCAATATTAATTTAAATATTTCAGAAATCAACATCACTTCTGCATTGATTTCTCTCTAAAATTTGCTTTAATCAAGAAGACTGTCTACCAATTTCTATTATAATAATAGTAATATTCTTACTATTAAAACATTAAAATGGAGCTGTCCACAATATTATTTATTATGCTTTCACCCTCAGCTTGTATTCTCTTGAATTTTGAGGAGGAAAGCAATCCTCACTGTCTTAAAAGTTCTGATTTAGTTCCTGGGTCAGATTTCTAAAAGATAACTAAATATATGGTGGGATTTTGAAGGATATAAAAATAAATAGTTCCTCTTAGTGTACAAGGCCATTTGTTGACATAGATGTGGTGGGATCCTAGATTACATGGAGACTTGGATGAAATACCCTCAGAGCTGCTAGTAGTTATTGTTCACATTCAGTATGGAGTATAGATGGCTCAATCAAAGAAATTGAAAGAGACTAATTCGATGCCTATCTTTGGAATGTGAAATGGGAGAAAATTCATGGGAATTTTAGTGTGCTCAGCTTAGTGGAAACTTCTTGAAACACACCAGAACTGATAACCAAACAGAATGTTATGTCAGTATCAGCTTGGATTTAAGATTGCCAAATCCTTTCTGCAGGAGTCATGCTTTGTATAAAAGGAAGAAAAAGGTGTAATTTATCCTGTAATCAGTGAATTCTGGACTCTTATGTTGCTCTCTGAAAAAAAGCTGGAGAACCAGAGTCCTGGCAGGTATGGAATCAAAGCAAAATTGGCTAAATAACTACTTTCTTTATGGCAATTATTGGTGCTTAATTGTCACAGTACTAATGGGGTTTTCATCATATCCTGTTTTATTTTCTGGATATATTTATTTTATTTTTTTTTTATTTCTTCATTGAAAATTGAATGAGAGGAATGACTTATGAAATTGGTAGGTTACTTGATACTTTGGGAAAAAGCACTCCAGTACTCCAAAGTGTACTTTGAAGAGCCTGTTAAGTTTCTAAGTGATCTAAATAAAAAGGAGACAATGATGGGAAGGCAGGGATAGAAATGTAGCATGTCCTGCTCTGTGAAGTAAGGCAAGGACCTTAAGGTAATGTATAGAAATCTCTGTACTCCCATGTCCCTGGGTACTTGTATTGAGTCTGACAGACAAACTGAGAGATGAGATCTTTGGAGAGATCTGGAAATGGCTGAAATGTCGTAGGCAGGAGCAGTGAGCAGTGAGCTGGCTGTCTTTTCCTAGAGCTCTGTGCATCCTTGTGGAGAAGGACACATGCTTTTAAATAAAGACAGAAAAAACTCTGCTCATATGCTGAAAAATGCTGTATGTTTTGTACAACACAGTTTTCCACTGAGCTCTAGATTTTTTTGGTTTCAGTTAGGAATGTAGGATATTCTCCCTTGTTAGTTCCCAGATAGGCCACAGACAGAAAAATTAGAAGTGTCCCACAAGCAAGAAAACACACTGTAATTAAAACCTGTTACCCCTTCCCTTCCTTTGTGGATCTCAGTAAGAAAAAATGTTAAGAATAAACTCTTAAGAAAAAGTAATTTTTTATGAGTTTTTCCATCTCTAAAGGTACAAAAGTCTTAATTTGCCATTGACAGTCACAGCAGAAGCAGCTGGTCTTAATTGAAGAAAATCTCTCCTGATATTTTCTTCTACAAGTCAGACAAAACCAAATGCTGAATCTGCACACCTCTGAAACTCCTTAGGTTTAGAGCTGGATCAGGCTGTGAACTTTGCATCTGGTCCATATCAATATAAGAAATTGAGCAAAAAGAAAGAAAAATCAAAGCACTTTTAGAAGTAATGTGTATATTTAACCTCATTTCATTCATACTCTTTGAAGATTATGCATTTCTCCCTGTTCCAAGAGCATGAGATTGTGCAGCTTGCTCTCTGAGAAGTTGCTGTGAGTGCTCCTGAGCTGCAGCTTTTGGGGAAGGTAGTTTGGCCATAACAAGAACAGGTAAATGTCTCTGGATCATATCCCTCAAGGGGCTGTCCTGGTGGAGTGCTTTTGAGGAGCTCTGTATGGCTGGATGGGTTTGCACTCTCCTGGCATCCTGGGGGTGCCTGTGGCTGTGTTGGTGTCTGTGGGTCCTGCAGCCCAGGTCTCTGGCAGTGAAGTGGCAGCAGAGTCTGGTCAGAGGTTCCTAAACCCACTCCTGATCGAGGTGAGCTGGTTTAACACAGGCTGAATGTGATCCTACCTGACTCTGCCTGTGCTTAGTGCACACCAGCAGAACCCAGCTGGGGGGAAATGCAGGCTGTAAGAAGGGTGGGAAGGGGGAGACAGGCTATAATAAACCCCTCACTACCATTTCTACAAGTCCTTGCTTGCAGATGCAGTAAAATTGAAGAGCTCATCCATATATGAGCAATTAGAAGCAAAACCAACATAAACATTCCTGCAAAACTAATCAATAAACTCGTATGTCTTCATTAGCAAGGTAGCATTTTGTGTTATTGATATTAAAGATCTGCTTTCTGTGTTGGGTCTCACTGCAATTGTTATTGATGAATAAAACCCCCGTGAGCTGAAATTGTCTTTTAAAAACTAGAATCTTGATTGGACGGCTTTATTTTCCTTGCATTGCTTCTCACCACATCTATTAAGCCAGAAGTAGTGAGAATATATCATTTCACAAGCCTCAGTTATGGCTCACACTGGACACTGTGTGGATGAGGCAGCAGCAGAATGCTGAAGCTGTATTGGTGAATGGGTATCACTTAGGGCTATTTTAAGAATGGATTTTGATTTGTGTCATTCCTACTTTAAATATGACTTGTTCAATACCATGTTCAGTAGTAATTAGATAATTTAATGTCTACTGACAGGTCTTTTGTGACTGAGACCCAATTTTAGCTCTGCATACCAAGGAGCTTGCCAAGGAAAAGTAACCCTTTTACTTAGTAAGGAAGGATAATGGGTAACTTCTGGAATTAAGTGAAAAATTGAATCCAGCTTCCTGTGTGCACTTTAGGTCCCACACTGGGATTACAGAACTAGCTCTGAACTGCTTGGTTGCTGACAATAAAGATTTTATGTGTGTCATGTTGAATTTTCAAAAAAAGTTCTTGAATCAAAAAGGTCGGTTTTACACTGAGTCTGGCTGCTTGTTTAGGAATTTAAGTGCTTTGCACTGGCTTGTGTTCTCTGTAGCACTCAAGTTTAAGTAGGTTTTTTGGAGAAAAAAATGGTAATATTCCAGTTTAAGGAACTGGGATGAAGAAAATAAGGTCATATGCAAGCAGAATTTAAAAGTGTTAGCCTAGTTTCCATCATTAAGAATTGATCCACTGAAGGGCTCTTATTGGCCAAGTGCTTGCTTATCAATGATTTCACTGTAAGAGGAATTTTATAAACACAGGAATAATTTCATTTCCTTGTATTACTATCTATTATTATCTATTCATATCTCTATGTATATTTGAGTAATGCAGAGTCAGTATCTTTAGCAATGAAGGTGCTTCTGCCCTTAGAGTGAGACAGCAAATAAAAATAAATATGCTTTCCCTTGTATTCAACATTTAAATATTTATAGGCTGTCTTCTGTGGCACATAACCTATTGCATTATAGGTCATCTTTTTCTATGGAGTGTTTCATTCTGAGAACTGCCTGACTGTGCCATGTAATCACTGGGAGCAGACACACGAGACCCCTGCAAAAAGGAAATGCCATCATTTTTAATCTGTGCATATAAATGGATCATGCAAGTCCTGAGACCTGTGTGAATATCCACTTTGAAAAGTTTTAAAAGTCTATATTAAAAGCTTCTTCATTTTAACATGGCATTCCCCCACAGAGATTTTCTGCAATGCTTCATTAATCAAGATATAGTCTGAATTTTTGGAAACATATTGAAATTAAAACTCAGTCCTGGCAGAGTGTATTTTCTAACGTATTTAGGCAGAACTGTGTGAAACTCCCAGTCAAGAAATTAACTGATCTTCATTCAGCCTTCTAACAGGATGCCTTCAACTTCGATTTTTAAGTTGCTTTTGGTGTGAGACAGATTTACAATCTTTCTATTTGTAATGATTTTTATTTTTTAATATATGAAACTCCCATGTGTGCTGATTGGAGAATATTTTCTTTGAAATTCTGCTGTCTGAATTCCACAAGAAAATAACCAGGAAGCCCTGTGATGTGATATTGTAACCAGACTCTCACTTAACTACTCATTTGTCTTTTAACTCGGTCGTGGGAACAGTAATTTACTAACCTAATTCAATGCATTTGTTGCCTTTAGAGATCAATGCTGCTCCAAGCAAAGTCAATAACAAAACTTCATTGACATTCCTGGGACCAGATCAGCCCCTTTAGGGTGTGACCTTATAGCATCACAGTTTTTCTGTACAAGTGCTGAAGTATTAACCCGTGTTTTTGTCCTTGCCCAGATCCTGATGCACCGTGTAAAAGGGTGTAAAAGGGACTTTGGGAGGCAGCTGACTTCTCCAAAGAGCTGTGCCAGATGAAACACACAGCCAGGATTTCCAGCCCACTGAACCATGGAACATAGGAGGGCTGCACTCTGAACATGTGGCATGAAGAGGTAGATTATCAATATGTACTAATGATAACCATTCCTTTCCACTACTTGACTATTTTTTTTTCCTCAGGCATAGATAAGGGCTCAAGTTTTTTGAAGAAATCAAATATGTTAAAAAACGTATTTGGGAGGAAGTGTAATTTAATATGAGAAGCATCACCCTTTTGCCAAGAGGTAGGAATTAATGTGCTGTTTGTGCTGTTGGATGAGCTGTACACCAGAATCTTGTTGGACTCAATGTGATAAAGAAATGAGGGTTTGTTTAGGGTGTCAGTGCCATGAGCTTCTGATATTCAGCTCTAGATCAGTGGTAGGATTTGACAATAGCAGGGGCTGCTCTAAACCCCATCAGTTATGGCTGTGAAAGCATTTGGGAGCTCTTAATCTTTAAGCTTTAGACAGAAGGTCGTAGGCAGGGTTGCACAGGAGTCAGTAAGGAAACTGCTGGAGGATGCTAGCAGAAATTCCAGATGATGAAGGTATATGGTAGATAGCTAAAGTTAACAGGAGATACCCAAACTGTTATCCCAACATACAGCACCAAAGAGGAAAAGGACTACCAGTAAAACATTTTAAGATGGTCTCTCCCCATCGAATTTGCTGTAAGAGGAAAACCTGAATGTGGTAATTAAATGCTTTAAACAAAGAACATGCAAAACACAGAACTGAGTCAGTAGGGATGTAGACAGAATGAGATTTGTCTGCAGCCTGGCAGCTTTTCTCTGAACTGCCCCAGCTCTGTTTAGGTGACTGGGAATGATTCCTAAACCATTCTGAGGCTTCAGATCGGGGTCTTACAGAATGAACAGCAAAACACAACTTCTGCATCTGCAAACAACTCTAGGTTTGGTAAGCTCTAATCATAGTAGCCCCCAAAGGTCTCCTATGTTGTTCCAGTTTAATTAGGCTATTAAAAGAAAACAAACCTGTTCTTGACATTTATGACTATGCAGTGTTCTGTGTTCTTTGTGTCAAGCAAGTTCATCTCTTCACTCTCTCTCCATAGTTTTTTTTGTGTGTGCAGGTAAACTGTTTGAAATTATCCTTTGTTTTATAGAAATTAGTTGAGCCCAGTAAAATATTTCTCCTAAATACCATCCTAAATGCAAAGGCCTTGCTGATATACAGCTGAATATTTAGAGAACTAATTTATTAGGAGCAGAACCAGTAATTTTTTTACTGGAGAGTCCTACAGCTTTATCACATTGTTCTATGTCAAAGTAATGATGCATCAAGCTCCCCACCAGTTAGTGAGGAAGAAACCCTCAGGGCAATTGAAATGAAACAACTTAAAGTGCAGAGTACCTGGCAAAAAGCTTACAAGGCTAGACAAGAAGAATGTGGCTATGCTGGAGGTCTGTAACCGCAGTCTCCAGGAACCTGGAGCCCTGGCCATACCACAGCAGCTCTTATGGACACTTCTTCCTTGGGAAAAATAGATTAATAAATTGATATTTGAAAATGTCTGCACAGGACAGCTTTGTATTGACAAATGTTTCGGCATGGGATACTGAAAAAAGTCATGAAACTCTCCGTTAACCTTTGATGTGCAAGCTCCCTGTTTCATAATAATTAAATAATAATAAGAACAAATAAATAAATTTCAAAATGTCAGGAGGTATTCTGGAAAGATTTCTGTACATTGAAACTTGCAGATTTACAAAGCTAGTTATGTATCTGGATATCAAAATTGGTTCAACAAATGCTTTGTAAAGACCTTTAATTGGTCTTTATGCTGGTTTCTATTTGGTCCCCATAGGCAAATCTTCACAAGACAGATTTTGGCTATAAAGATTAAACTTTTGTTGTTGTTGTTGTAGTAAATAAATAGATTGTTTTGTGTGTGAATCAGAGAACAAGTTACAATGGAATGATGTATATAATTTCTGTTTCTCAGGTTTTATGCCTAAATCATAATTAGCAAAAGTGTCTGCTAATTAGGCATTATAATAAATGGAATATTACCGCAATTTACTTGTGAATTTTCAAACATGTCTTACTTTTAAAGAGAAAATTTGTGCTGCTATTTGATTATAGGAGTTATTTCACTTGTGTCAGAAATAGTAAATGCTATGAAGAAACAACACAACAAGAATACAGATATTTCCTCCACTGAAATCACAGAGCAACACATAGAAAATATATAAAAAGAATGAAAAAAAAAGTTTGATCATGCTGATGGTCATATACAGATCAAAACTGGGCTTAGGTCTTTTCTAGGGGGTTCCTAAATATAATGCTTTGCATGAGATGGCACTGCTGATAATTTACCTTTTCATTAACATACAGATACCTAACAGGGTGGGGTTTTTGTGTCCCACATACCCTGCTGGGTATCTCTGTGTTATCCTTCATTGCAATTAAAGTAATATTTTTACAGCTGGTATTTCTAGAAAACTACATATGTCATTTATACATACATACATACATACATACATACATATATCTACAGTATAGAACAACTTTATATGTAGAACTAGTAGATGTGCAAAAAAACTGCAGGTTCCATTATTTTTGCTTGCATTATTGTTTTAACTTCTGAAGACAGAGAAGCTGACTGACTATTGCAAATTACTTAGGAGTGGTAGACTGAAGTGGCAATTAATCTTCCACCCTTGACTGGAGCTCTCTCTCCTCCTCCTTTACAGCAACTACTGTGTTTCCTTCAGTGTTGATTCACAGCATGAATATTCTCATCAAGAGATGTTCTACTGCAGTTCTGGAAACACAACATTTCTGTGCTGATACATCAGTTATTTTAATGTTCCCTATTTAATTAAATTATTATTATCAATATTGCTTTCTTATGCTTCTGTCTGAGGCAAGGTTAGTGGCTTTATTAATGTCCACATGAATCTTTGTGCCTGAAATATGCTGTCAGGTGTTGCCTAAAGTTATTTACTTCTTAAATCCTAGGGCTTGGAGTTCAGGCATCTGTTTTGTCTTAGCAGTGAGTTACAAACTTTTGTCAATAGTAGTAGAACCTACCTGGGATGATATTTTGCTTCATGGGTCAGGGGTTTAAATGAAATATACCACTAAAGTCAGAAGGAGCAACAATGTGTATGTTACAGTATGTTTCAATTCTGCTGTTCTCTCACTGAGACCCTTTAATGGCAGTAATGGATTTTATGGAGAAAAGTAGGGATCAGAAAGTCTCTAAATTCAGGTATTTGTATGATTGCTTTTATTTCACCAGGATCTGTGGTTAAATACCAGAACAGTAGCAGATGTCTTAGCATCTTTAAATTTTACAGCTTTGTTTATAATTTCACTCTGTTAAAGTTTTAATACTTTGAAGTGCATCATACAAGTGCACGTGGCACAACTACCGCAAGAATCACTTCAAGGGGATTTGAGGAATTCTATTCTTAGCAATTTCCTACAGGCAGCTTTTCAAATTCACTTTATTGACTCCAAACTGCTTCAATTTCTACTTGTATAATTTTACAAGAAATATGACAAATGTAACTGTTTTCCCCATGTTTTATGTCCCTAATGAGGAGCAAAAGGTCAAGGACTTTGGGATGGAAGGGGAAGCCAATTACTCTTGCTACTGTGCTTTGGAATACTGCTTGCAACTCACACTCATTTTCTACCAGCAGGATTACAGGACAGTTAATTTCCCTTGAAAGTTTATGAGGCTCAAAGGATTGGGGTTTGTATTTTTTTCCAATGTTTTCTATTCTGGCTTGAAAGAAACTGAAAAATATTCCCTCTGTATGTATGCATGAAAAACATCATGAAAAACAAAAGCTTTTTAGAATATCTAGAACCTGAAGATGAGATTATTTTTAAGGTAATTAGGTGCTCTAAGTTGCAGATAGATGCCTGACTGATTTTCAGAAGCATTTATTTGCCTACCTCATCGGTAGAACTGATATGCCTAGCCTGTGAGGTGTTTGTTAAAGTCCTAATTGACTATCTGCTTCTTAGGCACATTAATTAAAAATCTGGTTCTAAATGTCATTAAGAGCTATGAAGGAAGGCAGTCACTGGAAAATAAAGAAAAGGTCAGAAGGAAAACCAGGTCAGTGTCATTAGCAAACTCAATAAATTCTTCTCGTGTCTGATTTTGCACAGCTGACTTGAAGGCTGGATGCTGAGGGAATCACAGGCTGGATTGGGTGGGAAGGGAACTTCAGAGATGCTCTGGTCCACTCTCCTGCCCTGGGCAGAGACACCTTTCACTAGACCAGGCTGCTCAAAGGCCTGTGATGTAAGAAAATAGGGTGGGTAAGAGCTTGCTTTGCCCATAAAATAGATTGGCTTTTCCCAGTGCAAGGAGAAAGGTGAAAGTGCAGGGATCTGATTTTGGAAATACCAGGCCTGGCTCCTGCTCAAGAGAAGCTTGTCAGCTCTCACTGTGGCATGGGGCAGGGCTAAGCACTGTGTGAAGGTCTCTTGAGTTATTTCAGTTTGTGACCAGGGGATGTGAGGCCAGGTAATTCATGTTTGTGCCCAAATAGGCACATTGTTCAATATCCTGATTGCAGCCAGTCCTCTGACACAGCCTATGCTGCTCCAGGACTGCCCAGGACACAACTGTTCCATGGTCCCACTGCACAGCACAGCCAGGCCTCAGCAGCAGGGAGGATTTAGGATCCACTGCTCCTCACCAGATGTGCCTCTTGGCTGGAAATCCTGCTCCAGGGACCAGTGAACTGCATCCATGGGCTTCTGTAGGCTGGGAACTGACTGTGGTTAGATAAGAAACTTTTAGGCTTCAGGCATTAGCTGGAGCCTGTGTGAAACTAAGTCACACAACTTTCTCACTCTGGCCTGAGAAATCATAAGGAGGAATCCAAACAGTCCTTGGAGAAGGAAAACAACCTTTACAGGTGTTGTTTGGATCCTTGCAAGAAACACTCAAGGGGTGTTATTACAAATTGTCCAATGATGGTGATGTGTTGGTTTCAGGACCATTGAGAGTTTTACCTTTCAGGCCTTCTCGAGCCTGTCTATGGAAGAAGATCTGGAATAATAAAACTGACTCTCTTGTGGAACCCAGCTAGAGAGTCTGTGTCATACTTTTGCTGTTCCTAATACAGTGTGACACTGTGGCATGCTTTAAACATGCCCTGATGGCCTCAGAGCCTAACTCAGAGAGTTCTAAAGATCATTTAGGGTAAAATGTAGTGAAAGTGAAGGATTTTAGCCAGTAGTGAGCAGGTCTTTTACAAAATCTAACCTTCAGCTGGGGTCTGCTCCATGGGTCATGGCAAAGGAGAAGAGAGAGGTTTGAGATACTTCAATCTTTCATCCTCAAATGGCTAAATATGCAGAGATCTGTCTGAGGTCTGCAGCCCTGTAATGTGTACAGCCTGAAAAGGGATATGCCTGATGCCAGGTGGCCTTTAAAAACACACAGTTCCATCAGACTGGAACAGAGCTCCTTAATGCACTGCTAATTCTTCTCCTCCATTGCTGAGTTCTCCTCTTCTATCAGATGTCATCCAAAGTCCATGGCTTATCTGAAAACTGATACACTTAAATGTCAAAACCATCTGAGGATTTACATAGTCCCTCTGCCCTTTGGTTGTTTCTTTCTTATTTTATTTTCTCTCCTCTCACTTAGATGTCTCTGTGCCTAACTGGAGTATTACTCATAGTCCTAGGAATAGAAATTGGTGGTCCAGGCTTTAATATGCCTGTTGCTTTGCACACTCCCAATTTGAATATGTGATTGATATGAGCGTGTTCTAAATCTTATGTGTTCTATACTCACCTAAACTTTTTCTAACTTTGACAGAACCAAAAACAATTTTAAGCATTTGAAAACAAGCATTTAGAGAAATCACTAGGTGACTGTGGCTATTTTGGTACCATACCAACAAATTCAGGCAAATAAGAGTGGTTTCTTTCTGCAATAGCCTAGTGCTTCGGGTAGAAATTTTGTCTGCAGGGGAGACCATTACATGAGATACATGCTGTGGTAGAATTAAGCAAACTTTAAGCCATCATTCACTGGCAGAACAAAAAATTATATCATAGCAGATCTAGAATTTATACATAAAGAAGGAGCTAAGCTCTCTCTGATTAAATGCTGCACAGGTATCCCTCTGTGGTGTGACTGAGCTCAGTCACCAATGAACTTAATTCCTGTGATCCAAAACCTTTGCTGAATAACTCTGGTGTAAATGATCAGAAATTCCAGAGGAAGTCTGGTTGTATTTCAGTGTAGTGGAGAGCACAAACCTCTGTAATGGCAACACGATGAGGCAGGGTTTTGACTGGCACTTGACTTCAAACACTGTTTTACTTGACCTTCAGATAGCACAGCCCCTGCCTGACTGTGTTTGACTTGCTTGTTAGGGGCATTATTTTAGTTTCCTGTTTGATTGCAGAGACCAGGAGATAACTGAACCAATAAATGGTAACTGATTACTTGAGTGGAGTTTAACTAGCAGAGTCTGAGTAATGCAGTGGAGTGATACAGGAATGTTTTGGTTGGGTAGTTTTT